GAAACCAGGCAAAAATCCCAATTTCTGCCCCGTCGATCAGTGTTTCCCACAGGGACTCACCCACTTGTTCTTCGTCTTTCTCTAAAATGAGAGAATTCATAAAAAATCCTGGAATGGAGCAGGGGTGGGGAAGGGAGGTGGGGAGGGGAGAAAACTCACGGTGCTCCTCGAGGCACCACCCTGCAGGAAATCAGAAATAATCATCAATAATGGCTGTGAGAGGTGATGAAACAGCATGGAAATTAAAATAGAATAAAAAATAATGACATGAAAATGAAAATATCACAAAAATAAGGGCAGCGAAAGGTGATAAAACAGGGTGGAAAAGTGAAATGGAATAAAAAAAATTAAAATAAATAAATGAAAATAAAATAGTATTAAATTAGTATAGTAATAGTAATAAATAGTAATATTAAAAGTAATACATTAGTATAAAATTAGCAATAAATTAATATAGCAGTAGTGATAAATAGTAATATTAAATAGTAATATTAATAGCAATAAATTAGTATAAAATTAGTAATAAATGAGTATAGTAATAGCAATAAATGGTAATACATTTGTATAAAATAATTGAAATAACACAAAAATTAGAAACAGAAATGAAGTAGAAAAATAAAGGAAATAAAATGGAATAAAACAGAACCAGACCAGCCCCGGGCCAGGACACTCACAGATCCTCATTCGGGATTCCTCTGAAAGGAGAAAATTAATTGGGATTAATGAAGAAAGTAAGGATTTAAATGGTTGCTTTAAATTAATTTTAAAATTCATTTTTGCAGTTGAGGAAACAGAAGAGTTTCCCCCAGGACTCACCGAGCTCCGCGTTCAGCTCCGCTGGAAAAGGAGGAAAAATGAGAATTTCCATGATCGGGCAGAAATTCCATTTCCAGAATTCCTGTTTTTCCAGAATTCCATTTCCAGCATTCCCACTTCTCCAGAATTCCCATTTTTCCAGGGCCACTCACCGATCTGTCTGTCCCGTTGTTCTGGGGGAAATTGGGCAAAATTCAGGGTAATGTTATCAAAATGCTATCACAAACAGCAAATAAATAAAATACTGATCTATACATAAAATATTTACATATTTAAATATTCAATAACGTATCTATAATAAAATGTTTGGTTCTGTAATGTGTTTGACTAGATAATATATTTAAATACATGAAATATTTTAAAAGAGAATATATTTTAATATATAACATAGTAAACCACAGAATATAGAATACAGAATAGAATATAGAAAGTGTACCAATACCTAAATAAAATTTAGAAAATATGAAATCTAAATATATATAATATTTTATATCTATTAGAAATATATATTGTGTATAATCTATATTATATTATATACAGAATTAATTATGGATATAAAATGAACGTAAACTATATAGAATTATATATAATTATATTATTAATAGATACTATACATAACTATAGCTAAATGCAATTATATATATTATGTATTATATAATTATCATAATAAAATATTTTATGTAGTAAACACATATTATTATATATATATATCTGTATAAATACTTACATACATATATACACACACATATATATGTATGTATATGTAATATTTCAATAAAACAGAGAAATGACAGCTTTTATATTTATAAACCACAAAACCAACAACGGCTAGAATGCAGTAATTACATTACTATTTATAATAAATAACGTTATAAATGACATAATTATTAATAAATATTACATTATGAACAATAACATAAATCTGATCCATTTCCCCAAGTTTCCCTCACCGAGCGCCTCCGAGAGCTCCGCTTTGAGGAGAAAAACCCAAAAGTGCTCAATTTCCTGGGGTCTGGGACCAGAATGGGCCCAAATCCCCAAATTCCCGGAGTTTCAGGGTAGGGGAGGGGCTCACGCACCGATCCTGCTGTCCCGGGCTCCTGAAATGGGGAAAAAAGGGAGAAAATTCAAATTATCACAGGAAAAATTCCCATTCTGGGGGGAAAATTCAAATTATCACAGGAAAAAAATTCCCATTCTGGGGGGAAAATTCAAATTATCACAGGAAAAAAATTCCCCCTTCTGGGGGAAAATAACAGGGTCAGAGCCAGAAATAAAAACTCTGCTTTGAGTTAAAATCTCAGATTTCAAATAAAAATAATTTGGATTATTATTGGAAAATTACTGGAAAATTTTCTAACCCAAATCCCAATTTTTTATTAGAAATCCTGGCGTTTAAATGAAAATAAGGAATTTTTAAAGCCAACCCCCAAATTTTAACTGAAAATGCCAATTTTTAAATCAAAATCCCAGATTTAAATCCTCCCCCACCCTGGAATTTGGCCAAATTTTGGAATTCTGGACTCACCCAGCGCCGCCCTGAGCTCCTCTGGAAACCAAAGGGAAATTTGGGGTTAATTTGGGGTAAATTTGGGGTAAATTTGGGGTAAATTTGGGGGATTTTTCCTTCAGCTCCAGCCCAGAAATGGGAACTGAACCCACCGAGGTTTTTGTCGACTTCTCCTGGAAACAGGGAAGGAAAAAACAGAAATAAAATAATTAAAAATAACTAAAAATAATTTAAAATTATCTCATGGGTTCTGTATTATTGCTATAATTATTATTATTATTATTATCATCAGTAGTAGTAGTAGTTTATTTTCATTTTTACTTTTATTTTATTTTAGATTGTGGTTATGATTATTATTTCTATTTTCATTTTATATTTAGGTTATTATTATTATTATTATCATCATCATCATCATTATCATTAATTTTAGAATGTTAGTTTTTATTTTCCTTTGACTTTTTTTTAATCACTATTATCTTTACGATTGATTTCTGCCCATGAAAAAACCTTGGAAAAAGGTCAAAAAAAGGAGATGTTTTTGGTTTATTAGTAGTTAAAAAGGAAAATTCAACAATTCCTTACCAGCTTCTTCTGTTACTTTACCTGGAAAGAGACAAAAATCAGGAATTTCCATGGGGCTCTGGGAATTCCGGGGATTTGGGGATTTTTGGGGAATTTTGCCACCATTTATTGCACCCAATTTTGGCCCAAAAATCAGCGGGAAAATGGGGGAAAAACGAGAAAATTTGGGGCTGGGGAAGGGAACGACTCACCCGGTTCTGCTGCTTCCTCTTCCTCCTCCTCCTCCTTTTTTTCCTCTTTTTCCTTTTCCTCCTCATTTTCCTCTTCCTCTATTTCCTCAATTTCCCCTTTTTCCTCTTCTTCTTCCTCCTCTTCCTCCTCTATTTCCTCCTCCTCTTCCTCTTCCTCCTCTTCCTCCATTTCCTCAGGGGATTCATCTGAAAAAAGTCAAAATCCAAGGAATTTTGGGGGTTGGGAAAAAAATAAAATAAAATAAAATAAAATAAAATAAAATATAAAATATAAAATCCATACGGGCACAAAGACAGTGATTAAAAATTCAAAAAAATTCTTAACATTCTATAAATATGTTATAAAAAATAATGTACAGAAAATGTTATAGAAACATGTAAATGATGCTATAAAAAATAGAGATAATGTTAATTATGTGATCACAGCCACTCTGAATTCTGTAAAATTCCGTAAAATTCCGTAAAATTCCGTAAAATTCCATAAAATTCCGTGAAATTCCCCAAATTTCAGAGAACCCCACGCACCAACGTCCCCGTCCTTCTGCGCCTCTGCAAAATAAAAACAGGAAAAAAAGGTAAAACCCAAATTCCCAAAGTTAATTATGAAAAAACCCCAAAATGCCCAAAATCCTTTTTGGAAAGAGAACAAAAATCACTCACCGAGCTCCTCCCTCAGTTTTCCTTAAAAAGAGGAAAATTCAATTATTTGGAATTCATGTTTTCCCTTCCCAAAGGAAATAATAATAATAATAATAATAATAATAATAATAATAATAATAATAATAATAATAATAATAGTAGTACAAAATCCCCATAGCCAGGTAGAGACTTCATCCTTCTTAATTCCCATTTTTTCAAACATAATTTAATTATTTTTTGGATTTTTTGCCCAGAATTCCGAGCCCAGGTGGCGGCAGTGACACCACAATTGTGAATTCCCCAAATCCCAGGGATTGCCCCCAAAATCCAGCGGCACTCACGGATCACAGCGTCCTGCTCTCCTGGAAATGAAGGGAAAAGGATTAAAATTGGGATAAAATCCTCAGTTCCTGAAAGTTTAGTCAGGAAAATAAAAAAAAAAAAATATTTACACCCCTTAACTCCAAAAACTTCAATTTTCATATTTAATTCAGGAAAATTTAATTTTTAATTCATTATAATTTAATTTTTTAATTCAGGATAATTTTAATCTTTCATTCAGGATATTCCAAATTGAGGTACATTTTGTGTTTAGAAATGGGGAGTTGTGCCCCAAAAATGAGGTTTTTTTGGGGCCCACAAATGGGGTTTGAGACCCCAAAAAGGGTGTTAATTGTTAATCCCCAATTAAATCAGATTAATAAATTAGTTCCCAATTAAATCAGACAATTCTGGGGAGAGAATTCCCCTTTTCCAGAACTTACGTGCTGCCGATTCCTTCTCCTCTGCACAAAAAATGAAATTATTGCCTCATTAGCACCATGAATTAATTAATTATTACCATTAATTATTATTTCAACATTATTAACAATTTTTCCCATTATTCCCATTTTTCCTCCAAGATTTCCCTCCCACCTCCATGAATATTTTCCACCCATAATTTTCCCCAAATTCCCCTTTAATTAAGATTTTTCTGCACATTAATTAATTGGAACTCACCCAGCAGCTCCTTCAGGTGCCCTGGGGGGGAGAAGAGGGAAATTAATTAAAAGATTAAAAATTAAAAATTAAAATGATAAAAAAACACTAATTTATTAATATAATTCAATATATGGATAGTTTTAGTAATTGTAGGTTTATAAATATAAATTGGTTTTGTTGATATAGAGAATAAATACAAATGTAAATATAAATTATCAATAATGGTGATAATATAAATACAAATATAAAAGTATAAATATATACATGCATACATATATTAATATAATTAATAAGCATAACTGTAAATAAAATGAAAATTTAAATTATTTTATTAATATAAATGTAAATAGATATAGATATAAATATAGGTATCAATATAAATATAAACATAATTACGAATATAGACATAAACATAGTTATGAATATAAATATAAATATAAATATAAACATAAATATAAATATAAATATAAATATAAATATGACTTACTGATCTCAGCTTCATTTTCCCCTAAAGAAGTAAAAAAAATTAAAATAAATATTAATTTAAAAACGCCCAAGATTGAAACAATTCTTGAAAAAATTGAAAAAAATCTAACAGCATTAGAATTAACTA